TTATTGTTACATTTGAGATACTATATGAAAGAAATACAATTTTTTTTTCGCAAAAAAGTTAAAATTAAATTTCAAAATTAAAAAATATATTAACTTAAAAAAAAAACAGACAAACCCCGCAATTTATTGCGACTAATTATGGTACCATTAATTGTAATAGAACCACCAGCATACGATACATTAATACCATCACCCCAGTTATCACTAATTTGGGATGCATTAATCCATATATCCGCCGCTCCGTCTCGTACCAAAAATCCTGCTTGTCCTTCATTTTTCGCTATCGTTACATTTGTTAATGCTGTTCGTTCACGTATATCTTGCGCCCAAATACCATTTCCGGTATTATTTTCTATTACTGTATGCGTTATATTCAAACCATAAAATGGTTTATCTGAAAATGGAAATAAACATTCCAAACTGGTGATAAATAAAAAAGAAAGCATAGAAAAATATAAGTATTAGAATTAAATTTAAAATTTGGAAAGCAAATTTTTAAATTGATCAAGAATATGTAAGTGAATTTTTATATAACTACTACAGTATGTAAAAATATTGAACTATGGAATAAAATTAAATTTTCATTTTAATTTTAGATTTTACAAAAACTCTTAACAAAATTAATAGTTTTGTAAAATGGAAATTCTGTATGTTATCATTTAATTGAAATATTTGTTAATTCGCAACTCTTTTTCTTGCATGTCTTTTCTATCAAGAATTCCAACAAACGATCTAACAAACCAGTGACGGAAGCGTGAATTCGAAAAATTAAATTAATATCACCAGCAACTCGACCACTTAATCCACTTGTTATATGCTGCAGCGAAAGATATATTGGTTGACTGGTGCTCCTGTAAAAATTTCCTATTTTCGGGTTTGATTATTTAGGAAAACTAATCAGTATTTGAAGCAAAAACAGTTTCGATCAAATGGATATTCAGTGAAATTCGATGTATAAATGCTATCAGTAATTAAATACTGGAACTTCAATGGTCTCATATAGATGAATTAATTATGGTTAATTAGCAAACAGGAAGCTAATTAGTCGAACATCCGAATTTTCGATTACTATGTGCTATATAACTCAGTGCATAACGGAAAACATTCTAACATTTGAGCATAACGAACTAAAAACTGAAAAAAATAGCAAATCCAAACAGGAAATCAATATATATAATGATTAACCGGAATGAAACTGTTTGAGGAAGAATACGGTTTAAAATAGGAATACGATATCGTTCACCATCACATCCATCAAAGTTCGCATTTGCATCACATATGATTAATCGAGTTTCCGAATCCGATTTTTCATCATTTTCATTTCTTACTGTCATAAATTGTATACTGTAGGTGTACGGTAATTGAGCTGGTAATGATACTATCTAAACATAATGGAAATATTTTAGGAATGGAATCGGCAAACTTTTTTTGCATAATTTTAACAAATTTCCACATTTAAGGTTGGCTTTTGAATTTTGGAATTATTGACGAAATTAATCTCAAATTCCATTTTGTTTCTGAGGGAGAGGAAGAAATTGATGGAATTTGGCATGGTAAAATAGTTGTTAAGTTAATAAATTGTAATTAACACTTAATAAAATCAAAAACAAAGAAAATCATTAGTAAAAAAATTTTTATCAAAATTATTAAAAATATCAAATAATTAATGTCAGCTTATAGATTTCAAGAAAACAAAACAAAGCTTGCCATCCAACAGGGCGATGCATTGCTATCATCGATTACCGTACCATTGGTAAGTTTCGCTTGAATTAAATGTGGAAAGAAAAAAGTAGGTGATATTTTATGTTCAGTACACATATCCAATCTTGGCTTTTTATTATCTTAAAATAGCAACGAATCTTTCCCATGTTCATTATCTGGATTACGATAATATGTTTAGATTAATTAATCTTAGAATAAAAGTTAATAATAAACTTTTTTTTTTAAACAGAACGAATTGTTTAATCAATATTAACCAATTAAAAAATATTTAGTTCATTGACCAAATATTCTTTTCTGATTTCCAGTGAATATTAATCCCAAATATGCAATAATTGCAATATTATACATCTAAAAAACTCCTACAGTATTACTTGTTACTTACCGGACATAGTGAAATACCGGAATTCATCATATCCTTCACGATAGTGTATACCATCACCATAATTCCCACTAATTGTTGTCATATTAACGAAAACTCGGCCATCAGTAGTATTCATTACCATTATTCCATGTCCTCTAAAATTATTTAATTAAATTAAAATCAAATTATCAATTGCTAATTGTATTCTACGAAAATGAAAATAAATAATAAATTTCAATGAGTTAATTTTTTTCTCAATAAAATAAAGTATTATAAATTTGAATTATTATTAAATTATCAAAAATTATCATTATCTTTAAATTATCATTAAAATAATGGTTGAAAATGATTTTAAACAATTAATTAAGCTAAATGCTATTAATTAGCTATAGGTAGAATTTAGAAATTACAGTAATATGAAAAATCGTTATATTTATTTTAACAAAATTTACTTTTTGTAAAGAAGAAAAAAAGAATTAATTAAGTAATTAGTAATATCTAGAAATCTACCTAAAAAAATGAGTCAAATAAAATATAAAAATACCACCAAAAAAAAATTAGACAAATTTCTGTAAGTTTAATTAGTTAATTATTTTTTTGTTTATTTCCCTTGCAAAAAGTAAAGTTATTTTTGGGATAAAAAAATCTCTCTAATAAAAATTCCTCTAAAGATTGGAACTATAAAAATCCCTCTTAAAATAAATTAGCTAAACAATTAAAGTTACAAAGATCTCATCTCTTTTCTTAATAAAAATTTATTTTAATAATACAAGTTAATCTATTTGTATTGTCAAATAAAACGTAGAAAATTTCCGACAATCAATCTTCTTTCTTCCTTTTACGCCTTTTTTTGCCAATTCCAATAAATCATACCTATTATTACGGATGGTTGAATTAGCAATGACAACAGGCTCTGTAGGTCTTACAAGATGAATGCCATCTCCGGCACTTCTCTCAATCCGAAGGCCATTCATGATCGGTGAAATACCTTCAATCCGAATTGCTGCTGTTGTATTTTTAGTTGACCTTGAATAATAATAACACATAATATGCTAATTAATTTTTTGCTGTAACAAAAGTCAACTGTGAAACAAATTTATGGTTTTTTATGCAAATTATGTCGCATAATATTGGAAATCTATTTTTAATAAGAATAAGAAATTTTGAATGTTTCATTGTTTTAGTAGAAATTTTAAAAATATAAATGAAGTGATATGGCCTATATCTGACCCGTCATATCCAGCGTAAAGTATCTCAACAAATTCAAGTCTACTAATAGATTCTTGATGTAAAGCAACCATATCAGGATCTGAATTTACGTACTGTGATGACGATGATAAGATTTGCAAACCTATAATTAATTACAATTTAAAATATTCATTTTACGATGAAATTTAAAAAAAGGAAGGTTAAAGTACAAATTACGAACAAATTTATAATTAATTAAATGATTGTAATAATTAATAATAATGATAATAACAACAGTAGTAATAATAATTATTAATGATAACATTAATATTAATTAATAGCAATAATTATTAAAAAAATAATAACAAATAATCATAGAATAATAATAATTATACTAATAGGAAGAAGTTAATTAATTAAAATCTTTAGGAAAACGAAGAAATTAATGTGAAAGTTTCTAAAAATATTCTACAAGAAAATTTTCAATCCTAAATTCATTCTCGAATTATTTATTTGGCAATTTAACAGATCGGAAAATCAAAAAAAAAATTTGAAAAATTCAACAGCAATTATTTTTAATTACCTTTTCATTTTTCATTCATTGTTAAAAGAAGCAAAATGAAAATTAGTTAATAAGTTCTTTTTCAAACAAAAGAAATGAATGTTTCTGACCTTTCCAATGTCTTTGCCACCCGAGAAAAATTGGTGCTCCCCAACAACGAATTCCTATATCATCTTCACCTTGACAAAGATTTTCACTTAACGGTATCATATCAGGATTACTAAATCCTTCACAATCCCACAATGATGAAATATTTGGTTGACATTTTGGTAATGGCATTACAAATGGATATGTATCATTGTTACGTTCATACCATTTCCAAAAACCTATAAATGTGTCAGAATAAAACAATTACATTTAAAAAATTATTTTAATTACGTAATTTCTAATTTTACATTATCAAAAATTTCTTCGTTAAAATTTCATCATTTTCGGTTAGTTACAAATAAGCTTAACTATGATAACTTTTAAAAATTTTTCACAACAGATAATAAGAAATTATACCGCCATCATTGAAACCCATCGATTGACATGCTACGCTAACATCTATCGATGTCCAGCTGTAATATTTGTTTATGATATTCTAAGCTTTTAAAATATTTGTTTAAAAAAAATGAAATTTTATTAATTGTCAAAATGAAACTCTTTGTGTTACAACACTGTATAGCATCCTGGAAAATAATTAAATATAATAAAATTTCAAATTTTTTAAAAAATTACAAAAAGTATTTTCAGTTTGATAATGATGATGAATACTGTAGTATGTATATAAGTGGTAATGGTTAGATTATAAAAATAATTTTTTGACGAATGCATATGAAAAGAATTTTTTAAGATAACAAAATTTTGTTTCAAAAAAGCGATAAAAATTCATTTAAAATATCTTAACTATATATCTTACCTAATTAAAAAAAAATCTTAATTAATATTTTAGAATTAAAAAAAAAATTATTTCTAATTTAAAAATTTAGTACTTTCCTTTTCTAGTGAATTCTTATAAAATTATTACTTGAATCATTTTATTATACTCTACTTTTAATGGATAATATCAGAAATGGAATCCTTTCAGTTAGCTCTTCAATTATTGCATAATATTGGAAATGGAAATGAAATAATTTATTTAATCATATCAAAAATGGAATCTTTTTAGTTAGCTCTTCAATCATTTTACAATATTGGAAATGGAAATGAAATAATTCATTTAATCATTATTTAGAAAGTAGTAATTATATGGCAAATAAAAAAGATAAATATATGGCTAACTTTGTAAGTTTTGTACAAACTGATCGCCAACGATTTTGAAATTTAATTTGTAATCGTCCCTGTCGTACGGATGGTCCATCAATAAGGCGAAATTGTGGCATTTCCGAATCATAATTGGTAATTTGTTGATATGGTAACATTTTAATATAAGCAAATTCATTTCCCTGAAAATAATTTTTCTTATCGTAATTTCACAATTCTTAAAAGATCATTTCAAAGAATATATAAGCCTTTTATTTATACAAATATAAATTTCAGAAAATTTCCGAGTAGATTTTTTCTCCTTTTTAAAGTTCAAAAAGTTCCGAAATATGATTTCTTCTTTCTCTAAAGCATTTATTGCTGACAGTTCAAATGTAATTTCACTTCTTTTTCTTTTTTGTTTACGGAAATTAGTTGGACTTGCAGTTAAAGAGTAAAAGTAAAAATAAAAGGAAGAGAATGAAAGAGAAAAAGAAAGAAAAAGAATAGTTTTAGAAGAGTTTAAATTATTTCCTACAATTTGTCATTTTTGAAAGGAAAAAGGTAAAGGTTGCAAAATAAGAAATGATTCAGGCCTTATTATTTTAGGCCCTCCTTGGCAACAACTAATTTTTGTTTTCATTTCATTTCTTTCTTAAATTTTTGCCTATTTTTTTTCTTTGATTGCTTTCGAGAAAAAACAATGCCACACATATATTTCGAAACAAATGCATTTCGAATGGAAAAAATGTAAAGGCCAAAAAGGCTTTCTCAAAGACTTTGAAGAAAAGAAAAAGAATGCCTATATTATTGATATTGGGAATGCCTATATATTTTAGTTAGCAAATGGATGGGGATGGAATTTTTTGCATTTCAAAATTTAATTTCTTTTTCGTTTGTTTTTTTGAAAAATAAATTTCTTCTTCCTCCATCTCTTTCGTTCGACTTATTTCCAACCCATTCAGTAAATTTTTACAAATCTTTTCTAATTTTACAATACCTTTAATTTTCGTTTGTTTTTACCTGAAATTCCTTTCAAACCAATATATCAATTTTCAATTCTTTCTTTCATTATATCTTAAAGTTTGATTCTTTGAAATAAATGAAAATACGAACATTATCGTATAACTGTAACCAATTTTTTCCACTTTCTCATACACTAACAATTTAAATTGAAATTTCAAATTTGTAGAAAATGAACAGAAAAAAAAAATTGAATGAAAAATTTTCAAATAATCATTAGCAAACAACATTCTATCATTTTCGACATTGTCGAAGAATAATGGATAACTTTTCCAAATGTCTATCACACATATCTTCCAATGTATCATTTGAATCTTCTATAAGAGAGAGTGGGAGAGAGAGAGGGAGAGAGAGAGAGAGAGAGAAAAGAAACAAGTTTTAGTACATCATTTTCTTCGAATTTCCCTATATGATATTTAAATTTTTAAATATCAAAAAAAAAGAGAGTTAGGAAAGAAACGTTTTAAATAACTAATTTAAATTACTCAGTTAATTATTATTTCAAATCGATTTTTTTTCCACTTATAAGAACGTGTAATAAATGAATATAATTTTATTATATGTGATATTTTCACGTTTAGTTATACGTGATATTTTCATGATATTACACGTGATATTTCATTTTCACGTGTAGTATTCGAGTTGTTTATTGTTATATATTAATAAATTCTTTGATTACCGTGAAATTTGTCTAGATACGTATAATAAATTTGCCGGAGCAAAAAATTAAAATAAAATAACGGAAAACTTATTATCTTATAAAATGACTGTTTAATGCTACAATTATCATTTTTGATAATTTTGACAGGCGTTCATATTTTAATTTAATAGATTTTAATTTTTAGATTAATTTAAATTTAATAATTAAACATTAAATGTTAAATTAAAAATTAAATAATCTATTAAAACAAAGAAATTATTATCAAATTGAATATTAAATATTACAATGTAACAATAATAATACTAACCATAGCCAATATAGCACCTTTAATTTTAATACCAACACCCGTATCAAAATAAATTTGTACTCCAGGTTCAATTGTTAAGACAGCTTTTGTTTCGATCGTTAAATCAGTTTGTACACGATACGGTGAATTACGGTAATATAAAGTTATATTACTTGAATATACACCTGAAAATAAAATATACCTTATATATATTAATGAAATTTTATTTAACAAAAAAAACTAAAAATGAATAATATGAATGAAAAAATAAATAAATAAAAGTGTAAATAATAATTTAAATAATATTTTCATTCAGAAAAATAGGATAATAATTGAAATATAATGGAAATACTAAAATGTGAAATGATTAATTAGCAATTAATTATATTTCCTACAATTTCCTTTTAATTGTCAGATATTAGTGAAATAAAGAGTTATGATAGAAGCTATTGCGTACAAATAATTTGAAGTTGGTCGGAAAAAAGAAACTATTTTTATTAAAAACTTTAATAAATTCAAAATGAAAATTATTTGTAAAATAAATTTGAGCAAATGAAATTATTTAAATTAATTACAAATTGTTTTATTGCATTCATAATTAGAAAGAAATATTTAAATTATAAATTATAAAATTTCGCTTTTTGAGTTGCAATTTTTGAATTTTATCATTTTATCAAATGTTAATTTTAAGATGTTAAGCATAGATTAAGTTTAGACTTTGAAAAAACAAAGAATTTCTAATTAACTTCCCTTCCTAATAGTTATCATTTTATTTTTAAATAATACTCTCAGATATTCAAGAATTTCATCTTAGTTTAAGGAAGCCTAAAATTTCAACAATTCGTTTGATCCTTTAAAATTTTTGAAAAACTTAATGAGCTAATAAAAAAAAAACAATAGCTTACTCTTGAATGATTAATTTAATCGAAATGCTTTTCTAACATCTATCTTAGGAATAATTTGTTCAAAAATGCTTACTTAATATTAATTTCATCGAAATACTTCTTTATTACTATTTTCAAAATAACTTAATCAAAATATTTTATTATTAATTTTTTGGACAATTTAATTCAAATATTCTTTTAGCATTAATTTGTGAATAATTTTAATTTAATCGAAATTAATTAACAACTAATTCAATTAAAAAAATACTTCTTTACAATTTATTAATTAACAATTAATAATTTTACAGTATTTAGCATTAATCTGTGAATGACTTTAATTTAATCGAAATTAATTAACAACTAATTAACACATAATTCAACTAAAAAAATACTTCTTAACTATTTATTAATAATTAATTCTTTATTAGACTTAATTTAATCGGAAATATAAATAATTTTCAGGAAGAAAAAGGAAAGAATTTTTAAACGAATTCGTTTTCTTTTCCATTGCATTTTCATTATAAATTTTTGCATACTAAAAAGCTTTTATATTTTATTTGATCATTGATTACTTATTTCGATTACCTATTATTTATTTCGATTACTTATTTCGATTACTTATTATTTATTTCGATCACTTACTATTTATTTCCATTACTTATTATTTATTTCGATTACTTATTTCGATTACTTATTATTTATTTCGATTACCTATCATTTATTTCGATCACTTACTATTTATTTCCATTACTTATTATTTATTTCGATTACCTATCATTTATTTCGATCACTTACTATTTATTTCCATTACTTATTATTTATTTCCATTACTTATTATTTATTTCGATTACTTATTTCGATTATTTATTTCAATTACTTATTTCGATTATTTATTATATATGGCTGTCAAAAAAAAGTTGAAAAAGAAATTTCAATTTTTTAAAAAAAGAATTGTTAAAAAAAGATAAGAAAATTCGGCGCCAATATATTTTGAAATTTAAAAATAAAAATTAAAAAGAAAAGTTGATAAAAATGATAATTATTACCTCCAATAATATTTTTGATTGGTTCATATACGTTTAAAATATCATGTGATAAGGATGATAATAGCGGATCCGTATCAGAAATAGCATTATTAATATTATTAACAGTATTAATAATAGGAATATCGGTTTGACTGCTCGCACAATGTAATAAAAAGATTTGTAATAGTATGTTAAAAAATGATAGTTTTAGTGTGGATGATAAAAAATGATAAGATATTCGAGATGATATTAGCAATATTTTAATGATCATATCATTAACACTGATAAATGATAGTAATTGTTCGTTGATCGTTAATAGCATAGCCATATACCAATATGACAAATGATGATAATATTGCTGTCGTTTCAATTTTATCCATTTTAAATCATATTTTATCATCACTATAACGACATATCATTTAATCATTACTATTAATCAAATGATTAAATGAAACTACAATTAATATTAATAATAGGAACAATAATTAATTAAACAATAATGGTAATATAATAGATAATACTAATACAAAATTATCCCATTAATATATTATCCATTAAAATATTCAACTAAATTTTAATTGGAAATTAATAAATGATATCACCACCAGAGTATCCTTGTAGTAGCTGTGATATTATTTATCTTAATGCAAAAAATATATCAATACAATATTCATTACAAATATTTAGCCAAATACCAATCAGAAATTAATAAATGCTACTTAAGTAATTAAATAATTATAATAATATTTCAGATAATACTACTAGAAGAAACTGTCATATCAATTTGATGTCCATCATAACATTTCACTAATTATTAATTAACGAAATTAGTAAAACTTCACTCAATTGATTTAATAATCTATCGGATAATTGCTAATAGTAAGCAATGCTATCAAAAACGATAACTTCACTAGCTGATTCATCAACTATTGATGATGACAAATAATATTACAGTGATAATAACAGGTATGTTATTTTTATGGGTTGCAACAATACAGACAGACAAACGTAAGTGTATGTATCCGTGTGTGTGTGTATGTGTGTATGCATGTGTATATATGTGTGTGTTTGTATGTGTATGTGGACGTCTGTATCTACCTGTCCCTTTAAATAAATATATGTATATGCATGTGTATGTATGTGTATGTGGACGTCTGTATCTACCTGTCCCTTTATATAAATCTATCTGTCTGTCCATTTTGTCTTTCTATATATTTCATTCATTCATTTGTTCCTTTTATTTATTTATTTATTTATCAATCGATTGATTTCAAAAAGCCTAAAAGAAATAAGATATAAAAATTGTAATTAACAAATAATCGTATCAAAAAAACTTTAAATTTTTAAAAATTTCAATGTCAGACTTAAAATAAAATAATCCAAGAGAGAGAGAGAGAGAGAGAAAGAAAGTAAAGGTAAATTTTGTCATTGTTAGTTTTGATATAGCTAACGCTCTTTTTGATGATTGTATTTGATTCGTTAGTTGGTTGATTGGTTGGTTGATTGGTTGATTGGTTGATTGGTTGGTTGGTAGGTTTGTAGTAGTTGTTGTAGTAACGGATACAATCGTCCTTCTCTTCCAGGTTAAATTTGGGTTTACTTTGGAAGATTTAATCTCTTCACACTACTTTTTTCTCATACTATTTCTTCCTCTTCTTTAATATTTCAATCTCTCCTGTCAACCTTTAATATCTATTCTTGTTGACCAATCAATGAAACTATTCCTCCGTTAGATAATCTTTTGATGAATGTATAAATCCTTTCCCTATTCTATATATTCTATTTTATTGAAAAGTATCAGAGTGTTTGATTTTTATTTTTGGTTGACTTGAGATGATAATGATGATGATGATGATAATGATGATGATGATGATGATAATAATGGTGATGATTGTGATGGGAATGAAAGGAATAGATTCCACGACATTAGTTGACAAATACCAAGGTCATCGCTACCCTTATCTTCCATTAATGATGACCAATTCCTCCTCTCTTATTTCCTCTTTCATTTTCCTCTTCCTATTCCTCTTTTCTTTCATTCCGTTTCATCGATTATCGTTTCCTCTTTTCCGTTTAATTTGAAGTTAAATTTCTCTTTGTCCTATCTTCATCCATTGTAAGGATTTTATTTCCTTCTCTCCCTCCCTCCTTCTCTCTCTCTTTCTCTGTTTGTCGGTCCTATCTATTTGACATTTGGAAAAGTTTATTTGTAAATTAGTCCAATTAATTTTTTCTATAATAGAAACAACATCATATAACTTTACCTTCTTCACCTTAATCATCACTAAAACATTTTTAAAAATCCTTTTTTAATTGTTTCATATTTTTGCATATCATTCCAATCACTCAATCAGTCACCCAATCAATCAATCAATCGATTATCGAATTACTTGTCACAGGAAAGATTAAAAATTCATAATCATTTCATCAAATTATTTCGTTTGTCCTTTTCATCCATGAAAAAGAAAGAAGAACAGAATAAAAAGGATGATAATAATAAATCAGTAAAATTAATATTTAATTACGATATATGTTTATTATTAAATAATGAAATTTTCCTGAAATTAAATTACCAGTAAATTAAGGAACAAAAAAAAAAACAAATTAATTTTGAAAAAGTTGTCACAACAATAATAATTAAAATAAATTGAAATTAAAAATTTAACAGTGATGGTGTTGGTGGTGATATTTGTTATTAATTTCAGGAATTCTTACAAATAAATAAATTAAAAGGAATTGAAATTAAATTTAAATTAGATGATATCAATATATATAAAAGAAAGCAACAAAAAAGTGTTGAAAGTAAAAGATATAATAATCGTAAATCCTGAAATCATCCGGAATTTCATTCTATTTTATTCCGTTTTTCTTTTTCAAATTTTTTATATGCATAATTACTATTGTTATCGTTATCATTCTTATGTTTATATGTTACTGGGATATTAATATTTATTTTATTTATAAAATTCGAATTTCTTTTGATTCGTTGAAATAAATTTTAATAAATTTTTAATAAATTTAATAAATTTTTAGAAAACAAAGATTAAAAAACAAAATGACGTGGATTATAAATGTGGTTGAATTGTAACGTGTAATGTGGTTGAATGAATTGATAATACTTACATCAAATTATTTTACGGTATTTTCTGATCTTTCTCTTATTTCAAAACTTTTATTATCACACGAGAACGTACTTCATGTGTCACATCAACTGATAACATGATCATATCTCAAATATAGTTTATTTGTCAATTTTCTTCTTTTACTGATGTATATTTACAACAAATTCTTTTTACGCTTCATAAAATTAATATAGGCACATATATATATATATATATATATATACATATTTCAACTAATACATCCATTTTCTCTTTTGTAAAAGCGAAATTTTTGCTAAAATTTAGAAGGTTTCATAATTAATTAATTATTTTCACTATCTAACAATTGTATCATTTATATTGCATCATTGGGCTTTTTGAGATATCAAAACAATGGTAAAAACAAAACACCACAATGAAAATGAATGAGAAGAGTAAAAGATAATGAGTGAGAAGAGTAAAAGTGAAGTGTAAACATATCCCTGATGCATACAATATAATCGCAGTTCTTATAGTAAAAAAATTTCAAAGCAAGAAAGTAGATTTACAAAGTAGATTTCGATTTACAAGAAACCTACGAATCGGATATTAAAAAACCTTCAAAATTGATACAGCGTTTTGGTATGAAAAGTTTGCAAGCTATTACCTAAGTTAGAAACATAATTTCCCAATCAGCCATTTTCCCAACAAAAAAAGTGAAACTGCTTTCAATTTTGTTACTAACCCGACTTTTCAAATCTACTATTTGAACTTAAAATTGTCATCAATTCGAATATATCATTGTTTCAGGAAAAAAGCTATTATTGTGGAGCATTTAAATTTTATTTTGTTATGAGTAATCATAATTATTTTCCGACAACTTCATTTATTTTCCTGGGATAATTAAAGATAGTTCCAGCTTTTCATAAAGACAAATTTGCAGCAAATGAGCAGAAATTGCTTCGTTAAACTTTATATACGCTACCAACATCCCTTTCTTCTTTTTTTGTTAAATTCTGAATAATTTCTACTTAGGTTATCCATTTCGACAAACCTATGATTTTTAAAGTAATTAAACATTTTCCTAAAATTCTTTCAAATGCAAAGAATAAGAGCTACCGGTAATAGGGTAAAAATCATAAAAAATATCATTGGAAACTAAAGAAACAAAGTTCTTAACATCACTAAGTACAATATAAAACAAATGACTTATTTTATACATAAACGTTTTCCTGTATACTGAATTGATAAATACAAGAAAAAAGAGTTTTCTTCTTATTTTTTCCCCTTCCTTTGATAACAATAGAAATGTTCCAAACGACCATTTGGATACCGAGCGAAAGCACTGGAAAGAAATTATTTAAGACTTAAAAACAAACAAATTATTTTAATGTCATTAAATAATTCCGAAACGGAAAACAGTAATAATAGTAAAGACCACGGCAAAAAAGACAGATTAAGTATTACCTTAATTCCCTTAGTAAGGAAAAAAACTTCACCATTAGTCATGGAAATAGAAACATAAATGGAAAAAAAGAAACAGAGTGAGATTTCTTTCGCATTAATAACTATATACTAAAAGAGCAAACTGATAATAAAATATTAGTAGTTACCTTGGAACAAATAAAATAAAACCTAAAGATCAAGAAGTTTTAGCGTAATGAGGTCATATATGCAAAATAAAATATTCTGATAAGGTCTTTACGAAGAAATTAACCTACTAATAATAAAATGCTAAGATAAAAAGCAAAAGGAACTTAAACAGGTTGGAATTATTATAAGATTACAGAACAGTTAACCCACACTCCATACAGCTTATATATGATAGACGACGGAATACTGAGGAATGAAAAGAAGAGTATAAAAATCAGTAATTATCTAAAATAGACAACTGTATACCTAACTTTAAAATCGCAAAAATCAGAAACAAATAGAACAAAACCTGTTGGCAATTTTTTTTCCACATGAAGCACATTCTATTTCATGGCCGACAACAAATTTCGTAGAATGTGATACGGCTTTTCGTCGTAATGCTCGTTTCAATGCTGCATCACATACTGATTTATGAATCATAGTCTGCAAAAAAAAATAGTATCTCGATTTATTTCTCAAAAACTAATTTATTGCATTATCATTTATCATCACAAATTTATAACTCATCCTGGCAACCGCGATAAGAGACCTAAAGTATCTTTAGTGGAAATTCCCCTCGCTATATTCTACGAACTACTCCTTACGAATCGCTTTGTAATAATGTCAGGGAAATTAATCTGCAATGGTAAATATAAAACATTCCAAATGAATAAGTAATGCGTGTTGCTTGTTTCAATAAAAAAAAACCGGAAAAACGATTCAGGAGAGGGATAGTAAGACTAAATAACAAGAAATCACAAAAAAGAAAAAAATGAAATCTCCTCGCCCTTCGTTATCCGGAACGACTTCTCTACATAGGCACAACGTCGAATTTTATAGATTTTATTCATAGAGGTAAACTCACCGTCATTATAATCGATGTAAAACTAAAAATGAGCAACCCCTAGCAATTAATCAAATTGCGCTCAAGAGTTAGAGAAATTACCAAGAAAAAAAGGTTAGTCACTCAAAAATTTCAATATGCTCATTATCAAAATATGTCAGACTTAACAAGAATACATTGACAATACCTGTTAGTATTTAATAAATGTACTTACTGTATGTTTTTTGTCATGCGCCGCTTGCAAAATAGTAACGAGACCAGGCCATACACATTTTAATGTATAATCGAGAGGTAATGAAGTTACTGCTTCTACTATAAATAATGAATTTGAAATCGCGGTAAGTAACGAGTTCAAGTTTAGCTTTCAATTGATGATATATTTTTTGATTCATAAAAATTGAATACTGGTTTTAAAAACCTGGATCAAACATATCACTGTGCTGTTTCAGGGTCCGAACTGCTTCATTTGGATTCGGTATAGCTTGGTAATGGTCACTCTGCATTAATCCAACAATAGATATATCCGGTGGATTTGTGTACATTTGAAGCAAAATTAAAAATACCTAAAAAATATATCGTAAACCTTCACGAATTATAATGTTAGCTTTACTGGTATTAGATATATCCTTCTCACAAAAAAATACAAGAACTAATTAATGGACTAATTTAGCCATCAGGCACTGTTCAAATATTTTAAAAGAAGAACGTCAGACTGAAGCATACCTATTGTGCGCTTAAACTATTTATGGATAGAGAATTTTCAAACCATATGGTGATTACCTTAGAATGTTGTGGATCGTTCGGTTCATAACAATCTACGCAGTATTTCTCAGCTGCTTTGTAATTCTTCAAAATTTGTGTGTAAATAGCTAATGCTTGTTGATGTTTTTTCAGTCGCCCCAATAATAGTGCTCTTTCTTCATATAGCGCTGAAAATAGGCTTTCTTAGTTTTCTTAGAATCATAATATCTTGGAGATTCTTCTGCTAAAAGCTGTTGACTTCATTTCTCGATAACTAACGCAAGTACTGATTTCAATAAACAATTACAAAAACTAAGCACCTAACAAATAATTGAATATCATTAGAATTCAAGCAATTTTTGTAATAATACTTACAATTATGGCGCAATTGAACTAGCAGCTTTTCTGGACTATAAGCAGTAGATGTTTGCAAAAAATGTTGAAGTTTGCACCTATATTCACCAAGTTCGCCTTCTTCTTCACCAGCTGGCGCGATATGCTCATCTAAAAACAAGGTGATCAATTTCTGAAACTTCGATCAAATTTTCTGAAACTTGAAAATTTGCACAAAGTGAGAAAGTATGTAAAATGAGATGTTACTTTTTTTAAAACTAATCTTCAAGTCTCAAATTTCACCATCCTGAATGTTAGTTATAATCAACCTTCTCTAAGAATACTGATATAGTCCCGTTGTAACTGTTTCACTTTCGAAATGTAATGTTGGCCCAACAATTCGTGAAATTTAGGCATGTCTTCGTTCCATTTATAGATAATATGCTCCTAAATGTTTAGATAATTACGAAAAAATTAAAATAAGATAGTAAAAATCCTGAAATTTAACAGTTATATTCATAAAAACTAACTAAGTATGGGACTGCCGCAGCAGTACATTCATGCGTTAAAAATGTTAAGACTCGTTCTCGATCCAATGAACGAGTTTCCGCACTATCGTAAGTGAAAATCTGCAATTCATCAACATTATGCCTAACAAGATTAAAAATTTCCGTCGACTTTTTGAGAACTTTACTGATTTTTTTTTGAGAACATTTTGAGAACTCTACTGATAGAAGGAAGGAATGAATAATTGTTAATAGTCTGTTTTGAATTTATACCACTTATTGCTAAAGGAGGTGATAGCGTTATGTATCTATTAAAGAGCTTTTAATTTATTGTAATATTGCAAAATTTGTGTGATAACAAAGAAAGTAGCTAAAATAAAGACAAAAAAGGAAAACTGAGTGATGAAAGACGGCTGAGATTGAGCTAATTAAATAGGATCATAAAAGACAACTTCTTAGCATATTAGTTGATATTTAACTATTAGTAGAAGTCTTATACATTTCCAAGACTTCTATTAAAAAATATCATATGAAAAGCCAGAAAGATACAGTAAATCTAACTACTATATCATCCCAAAAAATTTTTCTCCCCAAAGACGGGTTTAGAAAAGAATAAAAAACATGTAAATACAAGTTGCCTATGACTTATTTGTGAACTGAATTTCCTTAAAGAATTTGAATAGATGTTTCAATTTTCAAAGAAATTATTGGGAAACGCTTAAGTGAAGGCATATACCGAAAGACCAGCAGTGAAGTTCTCTTGAAGCACCCAAGCAGCAAACTCGATTATTAGGTCTAAATGCTCGTTTCCCAGTTTCTGCAGATACTCGATGGTCATATTATAGCCTCGCAATGGACTTCCCTCCATATGAGCTTGTTCCATCAGCAGAGTTAATGCTACAAATTAATATTTGCAACATTGAGGTTGATTAAGCTCTCAGGTTATATGACGTTGCGACTCACTATCGTAAGACATCCTTGTTTTATGAAGAGGTATAAAATGATTTTCTCATCTACGGTAATGCATAAACTGCTCATCTAATGTCAATAAATTCTACGATATCATTCCACGAATTCGGATTTCCGAGATAAAGAATACAAAAAATTTAAATTCTCTCAACAAGTAACGGAAAGTTCTCTTTTCTATTCTCTTGATGTGACAAGAGAGAAGGAAGAGATTTCTTACTTCACCATTATTAACGATGTTATCAATTACAGCTGAAATTGTTGGATGAAAAACATACCTTTACGATGCAAACCTTTTCTTTCGTATAATATATACAGTTCGTTATATTTTTCGTGTTCCAGTAACACTTTTTCCGAATCGGCTACAATGCACATATTGTCTGGAAGACGTAGCAACAGAGCCACCAAACTTTCATTGGTCTGAAGAAATTTCTACACATTTTTTTATACAGCCAGATCTGATAACTTATTGCCGGACATGCTTACATCATCAACAGAGGGCAGAATCAATCTCCTAACTCACACCGCAGAACTATTTTGTTTTAACCCGTTGATTAAAATATCGATAGTTGTTTTAAGCCAACAAGGCAATGTTGCCTTCTACACCTTACTCACCTTTTAAACCTGCAAAGTAAGTCATTTTAGCAAAAATTTTATAGAAGAGCTGAAATCAAATTAAAACAAAACAATATTTCTAAATGCCTACCGATGAGTTCAAAACCAGCCTCAATATTTTTAGCGAGAGCAGAATATTGCCTCTGTTGCTTTTATTTAAAATATATGAAATCTTGACCAATGATATGATAACAGACCTGGAGGTAACACTTCAGTAATGTGGTATCGACCACTTGCAGAACATTTTCATGACTTTTCAGCCGTTCCAAGGCATCAATATCTTGCATATGTAGCTGACAAAGTTTTTTGAGCTCAATAACAGCCTTAGCATGTTCCATACGTACCTAAATAAAGTGATAAAATTGTTACATAAAAAGTGGTGAAAATAAAATTGTTATATGAAAAGTGGTAAAGATAACTAACATGGAAAATAACAAGATATGACCAGAAAAAGCATTATGGTTAAACATACAGAAGCAAGATATGGAGCCAATGACTGCAACCCGTTTCTAAATTCGTTTTCAGGAAAATCCGGTGGCTGCCCGTCAAGCAAAGATTTCAATGATTCTTGATAACTGGAATCCAACAGCCGTGGAAAATGAGCTATCACAGTCATGACATCTAAAAAATCAGAAATATCTTTTATAATGCATTTCATGCTTTTTAGCATCTCAACTCTAAAAGGAACCATAATTACAGTATCAAACTATTTCATCTGCTCATTAAGTACGAAACCTACCGGTTTTGATCTCGGCATGAATTTCCAACCATTCGTCGAATCGTCGTTGACAAAATAAGTTGAAAGCTGCTTTACGTTTGATTTCCATAACGCCTTTATCACCTATTTCATCACATTTCTCCTGGAATAGTTAGCAAACATTCATGAGAAGCATTTCGAAAGCATAAGAACCAATTTAACTCGAAAATTTTTGCAGCACTTTAAAGCAGAAAACGCTAAGCATAAAGAATACAAAATAGATTACCGCTAATTGAACAGCTAATTCGAACTGTTTTTCGCTAACCAACTGCTCCACATTACTTTTCATCTGCGGTCGAGAATCTAAAATCCATACATCGCTGCTACTTCCTACATAAACCGTCCCCCTGGAGCGAAAAATTAAAGCTTCACTAATAAAATATAGCACTTTACAAATAAAGTTAATGACAAAAGCAAGAAAAAAATTCAATTCCTAATTTACTAAACAACATAAAGATTTGCCAAACAAAGGAACTAATTAAATGCTTAGTAAAAAATTATTATAACACGAATTGAAGACTTGTATAACCTACTTTAAACCAGTGGATATGTACATCGCATTATTAAGCTGTATAATTTGTATGTGTGTCGCTGGTCTTACTGATCGTATTTCAATTTTGCCTTTTCCTAAGAGTGCCAACAAATATGGGGCATCGTACACTGTAAATATCTACTTGAAAGAAACGTTTCAATCCCATTCAAGATCCAGACTTCCCTACTCTTACCATTAATTTACTTTTCCACCGCTTGCAGAATTAAACAGCGCGGAAAGGTATAAAAAGAGAGAAGAAAATATAGTACAACTAAAAAAAATGATATATCAAAAGAATAGGAAATTATACCAATATTAAGAGGAGCTTCCGAGAATTTCACTTCTGATATCGGATTCACAGTTCCATAATATTCTTGAAAAAACAAGAAATTATCACGACAATATGCAATTTGTTTATAATCAGGCAACCCAACAATCACTGGATTTTCTGTTTTCGAACCGATATCAAATAATTTTTTCACATTCACTGCATCTTCCTAAAAGCTTTTCACTACATTCAGTTCAACTTCGACTATTCGATCAGTGAAATTTTTATTAAAAAGTATTTACAGATCTTTGAATACAGACATTCTTTCATATTTTCAAATTTTTGCAACTGATTCATACTTTGATTGGAAAGACGGTCATATAGTAATATTCGTTTTGTACAGCCACCGATACAATGGGACCACACCAAATCATATAGTTCACATAATCAGGAAAAAAGGCTGCAAATGAAATTAATACATGTAAACAAAAATATAAACTGAATCAATCTTTTTTCAAACTAATACATGTAAAGGAAAATATAAACTAAATTTTTTTAAGCACTAGAAATCAAAGGAAAATGAATTACTCATTGACATTTCAAAATTCATCTTCGTAAATTCATCAACAAGCCACTTGTAAAGAAATATTTTCTTCCTTGCACTTATGGCTACATATAATAATCCATCGACCTGTAAAATTCTCAAAGTGCTTTATGAGAAACATGAAATATCGATTGCATATTTGCTTTCAAGTCAGAGATTCGCTTAATTATACTGCATGTTTTATAGCAATCAGTAAGCCTGATTTTATCTTCTGGAGTTAAGTAAGTAATAATTAAAACCAGATGGTATGATTTCGAAAACACTAATCCTTCAGTGAAGTAAAAGATATACCTCTGATACAGTAGCGCAGAAAGCAGATATGGGCCTAACATCGGAAATAAGTGCTTTCAAGGCAAATGGATCAGAAAGGTCATGTGCAGCAAGTTGCGAATCAGTTAAACATAGCAGTATATCATGTCTTTCAATACAACACAATTCATTTACTGACTTTTTTTCGAATGATCGGCACATCAAAAGGTCGTATCCACGCTTACCTGTAATCCATATATTTATCATAGAATATTAATACTCTAAATTGATTTAAAAGGTATCCTAACGTACTTTTCAATTTTAGAAATTTATTGTTGCATTAGAAATTACGTATCGCTATGCATAAAAAAAAAAAACGAATTATGCGTTACATAAACGTACCAACACATTTATGTTTCAAAAGTGATATTATAAAAAGATAAAAGACAATAAACCTCCACGGATTCCATTTAGTGCCAACAAATAACCAGCCTTACTTCCAACATAAACTTTGGCAGCGTGACCTGTAGTTTTAATATAACATATAAATAATAAAATTGCAGACAAACAACCGTAATAAGATGTTTTCATAACTAATAAGATATTTTCATAGTAATAAGATATTTTCATAACTAATTGATAATTTTTTGTCTTAACTTTTTCGAACATTGATCTTTCAAGCTTATCATTTAGTTATCTAAATGAAAAAAAAAAAGCATTTTTGTGGAAAGCGATAAAATAACCATGAGCAGCCAGTGATGACACATCAACTGACTTCTCCAATCTGGTAGCTATCTCCGTGGGTGTATATGCTTCGAACATCCTTCGTATTGAAAACTGCTATTTCCTTCTTCACATATTGATTTTTTTAAGATTGCAACAGTAATAATTATCCATCCAAGTAATCCTGCATTTTGACAATTATGTAAATTTTTAATTAATTCATTAAACATACCATTTGATCAAAACTTGTCTACTAAATCGTTAAATATATCATTTGACCATAGGTATCAAAAGGTTAAGTGATTAATTAATTTTATTGCACAACTAAGTAATTGATCAATTCGTCAATTAATCGGATTAGGAAATTAGCGGAATAACTAATTTACCAAGCAAAAAAAAATCACTAAATTATCAGTATTTAGATTCAGTTAATTAAGAATTGGGTTACTCAGTAATCGAGTATCAATCAAAATATTTCGCATTTTTCCCAGCGCGCCATATTGTACAGTGCCATAATTTCATATTTACGTCTCTTAGAAGGACTTCCGCTCAAACTAACCCCTATATACTCTCAATGGCCAAGCTCATAATGTCCATCATTCTGTGGCCTCGTACTGAGATTTACGGGCCGCAGCTAGTTCTGTCCTGTTGTAGCATAAATTTGTTGAGGTCTGAAAACGAGGAGTAGGCGGGGATTTACCATAGGGTTTTATTTATCAAGTAAAAAGCAATTCTGCGATTTTGAAAAGCTGCACACAAATATTGTATTTTAGTATTTTTGAATATTAGCTTGCTTGTATTTAAATGTCTAAGTATTATTTTGCCACCTTAATTAACCGTTTTTCATTATAATTAACTTTAGAAGTTTGATGTTCGCTTAAAAAATTGTTTAGTAATTTTTCACATATGTATCATTTCACCAACATCATTCTCTTAAATGATTTTTTCAATATTTAATCTCCTTCAATAAAACAGATGATATGATGAGCTGACTAACTAGCTAATAATCGATAGCATGTTAATAGAATAAAATGAGGTGATCAAGACGAGTATTCAACCATCAATAAATGATTCAAAAGAACAAGTGTTATCTATGAACGCATAAAACAACCGTCATCATAGAAAATACTGCAATGAATAATAGTATTGAATTTTTATCAATTTTGAAGAATTGTTCCAGGAATGGCAGATCCTACACTTCTAAAAGATATAGCAATTAAGACAGGTATTGTGAAACGTTTGGTGAAGGAATTATGCTATTATGAGAAGGAAGAGGAGAAGTTATTGATCAAATTGCAAACAATGCAAGGTGATGGTGATACTGACGAACATATCATTAAAAAACAGATGGAATTGCTTCAGGTAATATTTTAGGATTCTTTTAAATTTGTTGCAAATATTAAAATTTTCTGCAAGCACAGAGCTATGGATAATGAAAGAAAGTATGAAGAAAAAAGCTCTTCTAGGGGTGAGCTTTTTTTGTTTAGGAAACAAAGCAAATGATACCGGAATGTGCTCGACGATTGATGAATTCGGTCGAAAGTTTGAAAAAGGTAAGAGTTCAATTTTCGGTTGCAGAATGTAGTCTTTTGATTCTTTCCTTCTTTCACTTCTATATATCGCATGAAAGAGCTTTAGCTATTTGAAAATTACTTAGAGGTTTTTACTTTGCTATTAATTAACAGTTAATTATTATTAATGGTGAAAAGAAGAACTGATTATCGATTTATCTAAGTTGCTGTTAATATATTACTAACACTTTTGTGGTGTTGAGGTAGAAAATTTTCGTTTCTGTACTTCATAATATATATTCTATGCTATTGGTGAGGAAGAAATCTTTTTCCTTACCTATAATGGCGGATGTTCAGCAGCGAAGATACCATTAGAAGAATACAGCTTGTAAAAGTAAGGTGTATAATTAAATATTTTGGGTGTCATTGAAAATTTTTGTGAATTCAATTCTCTTCGATTTTTTTCACATTTTGCACAAATTTTTAGCTTTCAGGTAACCGGTGAACACGAAGCGCTATTACAGAATACGCCAGAGTATATTGCTGCTGCAGAACAAATTAGAACCGGTATGGAAGAATGCTCGAAAATCAAGGAAGCAACACGAGTGGATTGAAAATTCTTTTTTTATCGCTACTAATATGGTGATTTCGACTTTTCACTAATCATAAACTGCCAGCTGCGCTTATTCAATGTAACATGCGGTTTACCTTACAGCATTCCTTTCTACATCGTTGTTCGATATTGTCCTGTTC